CAAAAAAGTTGCAGTTTAATGTGGTGAAGGCAAATACTTTAGAAAGGTCAAATATGTTTATAGCTTGCAACAGAAAAGTTAAGACTGCTGCAGTATCTCTAGCAAGTAATTCTGTCCATTCCAGAAAAACCGACCTCTTTTTCTAAAACTATGAAGGTCACGAGAGGACTGGAAATACCACTTCCCTTCAGTATATGATGACGACTTCTCAGTTTAGCTTGCTACTAAGTTTCATCAAATACACGCATGGTAACACATAGAATAATACTTATTTTGGAGTCCTCTTTGGAAACTTAAGGGAACATTAACATTTTCAAAATGTCCCCATAAAACCTTCTCCTGAAGAAATCTCAGTATTTTGTAGACAGATAGTACACCTTAATGCCTGGCAAAACATCTGATTTTGTTGCTTTGGCAAAGACAAAGCTCTCCATGTCACTGTGACTCACTGCTTTGTTCATCATTGTGCACTGGGGTGCAAGACTCTATCTTCAATCCTGAGAGAAATCTTATCTACTGTTGCGGAAGTATTCTCTTCAGGAGTGCCAAGCCTTGAATCACAGCCTGTACAAGAGGATTTGTCATGAAAAATCTACTGTTATGAAAATTGCCAAATTCAGGAAAGCCAAGACTTTCAATCAAGGGCTTCTCAAGAGGTTTTGTCAAGAAGTGGGAGCAATTATGAAATGCTTTGCTACATATAAGTTCACTGTTTTCAGAAGGCAAACTCTACAGCCAGGATTTTAACTGCTGTTAACTGGATAAAATACAAACTCGTTTGCACAGTTTAACTCTTCAACCTTAAAACTAAAATGTGAAGTCCTAATCCTTTCCTTCCTAACACAGTGTTATGCCAGATCTTGCCAAAAATGATCTCATTAACCAACAGCAAAGAAAGTGATGCAACATGGATTTTTCTGAAAAATCTTAGAGAATTCCTATTTTTTGACACAAGTCTACTTTCATCTGACAAAAGAATCTAGAGATTCCATTTGTTCTTTCATTCTTTCGTGAGATAGCATTTTAAGCACTTGTTATCACCAAAAACAGTCAAAATTGATTGGATATCAAAGATGACATAAAAGTTGTCAAGTCAAAGACGATGGCATAGTTTTAATGTATTACTTGAAATTTAAATACTAGCAGCCCTTTCATTAAAACTTACTATTGAGCAGAACTAAAGCTTAATTTTGATTAATTTGTAAACATTTAGAGTTATTCATTGTCCTCAAGTAGTGGCCACTGTTTTTTCCATTTAAAAAAGGGACATAATTCTTATGAAGACTTTTATTTTCCACGTTAAAAAAAAAATTTCAGTGTAATTAAAAACTATAAGCAAAATTTTATGTTCATGTAATATCATGCACATTTTTAGTGAGAGACTATAGCTTTCATCATATTTTTTAGCAGGTATGTAACATAAACATTTTTTTTTAAATTTTTTATTCTTATGTTAATCCCCATACATTACATCATTAGTTTTAGATGAAGTGTTTCATGATTCATTGTTTGTGCATAACACCCAGTGCTCCATGCAGAATGTGCCCTCCTCAATACCCACCACCAGGCTAACCCATCCTCCCACCCCCCTCCCCTCTAGAACCCTGTTTGTTTTTCAGAGTCCATCGTCTCTCATGGTTCGTCTCCCCCTCCGATTTCCCCCGCTTCATTCTTCCCCTCCCGCTACCTTCTTCTTCTTCTTCTTCTTTTTTTTTTTCTCAACATATATTGCATTATTTGTTTCAGAGGTACAGATCTGAGATTCAACAGTCTTGCACAATTCACAGCACTTACCAGAGCACATACCCTCCCCAGTGTCTATCACCCAGTCACCCCATCCCTCCCACCCCACCCCCCACTCCAACAACCCTCAGTTTGATTCCTGCGATTAAGAATTCCTCATATCAGTGAGATCATATGATACATGTCTTTCTCTTTTTGACTTATTTCACTCAACATAATACCCTCCAGTTCCATCCACGTCGTTGCAAATGGCAAGATCTCATTCCTTTTGATGGCTGCATAATTTTCCATTGTATATATATACACCACATCTTCTTTATCCATTCATCTGTCGATGGACATCTTGGCTCTTTCCACAGTTTGGCTATTGTGGACATTGCTGCTATAAACATCGGGGTGCACGTACCCCTTCGGATCCCTACTTTTGTATCTTTGGGGTAAATACCCAGTAGTGCAATTGCTGGATCATAGGGTAGCTCTATTTTCAACTTTTTGAGGAACCTCCATACAGTTTTCCAGAGTGGCTGCACCAGCTTGCATTCCCACCAACAGTGTAGGAGGGTTCCCCTTTCTCCGCATCCCCGCCAACATCTGTCATTTCCTGACTTGTTAATTTTAGCCATTCTGACTGGTGTGAGGTGGTATCTCATGGAGGTTTTGATTTGGATTTCCCTGATGCCGAGCGATATTGAGCACTTTTTCATGTGTCTGTTGGCCATTTGGATGTCTTCTTTGGAAAAATGTCTGTTCATGTCTTCTGCCCATTTCTTGATTGGATTCTTTGTTCTTTGGGTGTTGAGTTTGATGAGTTCTTTATAGATTTTGGATACTAGCCCTTTATCTGATATGTCATTTGCAAATATCTTCTCCCATTCTGTCGGTTGTCTTTTGGTTTTGTTGACTGTTTCCTTTGCTTTGCAAAAGCTTTTTATCTTGATGAAGTTCCAATAGTTCATTTTTGCCCTTGCTTCCCTTGCCTTTGGCGATGTTTCTAGGAAGAAGTTGCTTCGGCTGAGGTCAAAGAGGTTGCTGCCTGTGTTCTCCTTTAGGATTTTGATGGACTCCTGTCTCACATTGAGGTCTTTCAACCATTTGGAGTCTATTTTTGTGTGTGGTGTAAGGAAATGGTCCAGTTTCATTCTTCTGCATGTGGCTATCCAATTTTCCCAACACCATTTGTTGAAGAGACTGTCTTTGTTCCATTGGACATTCTTTCCTGCTTTGTCAAAGATGAGTTGACCATAGAGTTGAGGGTCCATTTCCGGGCTCTCTATTCTGTTCCACTGATCTATGTGTCTGTTTTTGTGCCAGTACCATGCCGTCTTGATGATGACAGCTTTGTAATAGAGCTTGAAGTCCGGAATTGTGATGCCGCCGGCTTTGCTTTTCTTTTTCAATATTCCTCTGGCTATGCGGGGTCTTTTCTGGTTCCATACAAATTTTAGGATTATTTGTTCCATTTCTTTGAAAAAAGTGGATGGTATTTTGATGGGGATTGCATTGAATGTGTAGATTGCTCTAGGTAGCATTGACATCTTCACAATATTTGTTCTTCCAATCCATGAGCATGGAACGTTTTTCCATTTCTTTGTGTCTTCCTCAATTTCTTTCATGAGTATTTTATAGTTTTCTGAGTATAGATCCTTTGTCTCTTTGGTTAGATTTATTCCTAGGTATCTTATGGTTTTGGGTGCAATTGTAACATAAACATTTTAAGAGCCATGAGCTTAAATCTAGTATTCTGGCTCCACATTACACAGCTTCTCTATTTTTATTTGAAATTCTTTTTACTTGATTTCTTTCCCACAACTACAATGTCTACTGCTCATCAACCCTGCTTGCCCTACACTTCTACCACTGCTTCAGCTACTGTACTGTGATTTGACCCGTTTATGGTTTTCTTCCCATTCATTCTCTTTCCCCTGTGCTGCCCTGTACTTATTCACTTAAGTGTAGAACAATTACCTTCTATATTTTTAATCAGTAAAACCGTTTCCCTCTAGATGATGAAAAAATGAACCAAAGTAAATATCTCAGGCCCTCTAGAATTCACTCCACTACTATCATCTCAGGGTGTACACAATATAAAGAAATGTAAGGCAATCTATTATAATCAATATTCACTAAAATCAAGCACTAATAGAAGATTCAGTTTTATAAACTAGCACCAATACATAGCACTTTGGCATCCCTAGATGTAATTTTAAAAAATCACAAAGACAGATAAAACAAGAAATGAGGAAGGAGAAAAGGAGCCAGGAATCAATACAACCACCCGCTAAAATGGTGGAAATGATGTTTCTGTTTTGAAGTTGTTAAAAAGAAATTAGCTTAGGGGCACCTGGGTGGCTCAGTTAAGCATCAGACTCCTTGATCTCAGAGTCCAGTTCAAGACCCACACCAGGCTCCACACTGGGCATGGAGCCTACTTAAAAAAAATTAAAGGAAGGCAGGCAGGCAAGCAACTTAAACTGGAAGAGAACCTTCCTGATGGTAAACGTTATTAAAACTAGAATAAATTTTTTACATAAAGTTGTGATGTCTCCCTCAATAGAGTTCTTTCTCTAGGTGAGTTTCTCCCTCTAACTGGAGTGGTTTGGGTCTTTCCTTCTCAGAGACAGAGAAATGTACAAAAATCTCTTTGTTAGAAATATAAACCTATTTTGTCACACTTACCATCCAAAGAAGTGAATCCCTTAGAAATTACTGTGAAAGTTCTCCCAAGAGTTTACATTCTACCCTCAAACATACTAACAGATTAAGTTTGTCACTGATTTTCAACATAGTCTTTATTAGTCTTCTGAATAAGAATCTTTGACTAATCTTAATTATAACTACATTCATGAATATTCATATCAAAGAATAATTTTCATGTCCTTATAAAAGTAAAGATCATACTTTACTAGGAAATGGCATCCAAGTTATCATCCAAAGACATCTCATTCTCAGGCAAGGTTCAGAAAGATCAAGCTTATTTTTATTTAAAGTACTGCTTCTTTAAATGCTGTCAGAATTTTATGAGACCAAGTACACCATACAGTTAATGGGTAAGATTTACTAGCATGATATGAAAATGCTAGCATGAACAGAAAAATTGAAAGAATCAGTCATTTGCTCATATGATAGTTAAGGTAGTAACTGATTTAAATGTTCGGAATAAAGAAATAGGAGTTACCAACCATCTGTTTAAAAACCTGTTTTCCAATAAATGCTCAAATCGAGGAAGAAGAAAGAAAAAAACATCAAATATAACTTACCTTTTTGTCTCTGGTCCTTACTTCCCCATAGAAATCTAGGGCCTCTTGTGCCTTTAAAAATTTGCCCCGATGTAATAAATATGCACAAATCATTACACCAGTTCGTCCCTTTCCAGCTTTACAGTGAATTGCTGCAACATGATTGTCATCTTCACTTAGCCATTGGTCAAGATCTTCACAAAAGGGTTTGATAAGTTCTAGCTGTGGTGGATTATGGTCTTCAAAAGGATACTGTGCAACTGTAGTAAAAGGATAACCTCAGAATTAGAAAAAAGTCTTTCCTGAATTGTTTATTAAAGTAGGTTAACTTTAGAAATGTTGCATTTAAGCTTAACAGGTGTTTAAAAGAAAAACCTGTCTCCAGAGAAAAATAATTTGCTGCCTGATAATTTTCCAATTTTTGAATAGAAAATAGTCTCTCATTAATTCTTAAACCTACCCACTAGACAGAGAGGCCAAGCATTATTTTTTCCACTTAATGAAAGAGGAAACTTGACTATGGAGAGGTAGCACAAGTCAACATATCAGAGGGAGAGGCAAACTCAAAATGAAATGTCACATAGGTAGGTTTCCTGTCAGGGCTCTCAATGCATTTTCTGACAAAAGGAGTCATAATATTTATAGCATTACATCACCACAAAGCATGTATTCCAGAGAAGGGATAAATTACCAATAAATCCACACTGGAAAGGACTGATTTTTACACTTCATAAAATAAAAATGCTAACTAAACATGTTAAAGATGGTCTTACAAATGTTAGTGTTGATTTTAAAGGCATTTACAAAAGAAACTGAAAAAACTACTTTAAAAAATGTATACAGTTGTAGTAAAGTGTATCTAATGTCAGGTCTTTTCACATGGGTTATAAAAACCCAAAATTTCACTGTTCCCTATAAGTCAGAGTTTTTTTTTTTTTTTTTAACTTGCCTAGAAATAGGAGTTTAACTGTATCACTATTAAATTTTTTTTTATTGGTCCCTGCCTTGGTTCCATTCTATTAAAATCCTTAAAAATCCTGACTGACATCGAATGCATATAATTATCCTGTGGGTCATCTTAAATATGTGAGAAGTATTCCTTCTATCTTCAATCAACTCATTAATAACGTGGAACAAGACTCAGTGTGTCGGGTGAGTCGTCCTGGGAGACAACGACTACCATTACAGGGAGTCGCCGGGACAGCTTTCACCTGGGCCTCGGCGTTCCATCTTCATCTCCCCAGTGGCACATAAAAACATCCGGGAAACTGTGAAACGTCTATTTAAAGCTAGATAAACCGTGACTAAAACACTCTGCCTAGTAAGCAGTAGCATAAATTCACAAAAAAGGAAAAATTCTCAGTGAGTCTGTATTGGCTCTCAGCCATTAGTGCCTCTGAATTCTCAAACCAGCTGTTTGAATGTCCGTTCTAGATTTTTCAGAAGGAATCCACGGCAAACACATCAGTATATAGCTCATGGCATCCACCTTCTCTTTCTATCATGGTAGCACCTGCCACGCTTCTCCACTCTCCAGGTGTCTCGTGGCTCAAGGGGTTCCACCAACACAGATGGGAGGTTTTTGTGGGCCCTCAGAAAAATTCACTACCCCTGGAGGAGAACTCACTGAAAGCAGCTCCTGCGCTCATCTATCAGGCTCCTTTTACCCGTATCTGTCATGCCCTTCTCTCCCTTTTAGGTCATGGCTCCACAGAGTTAAGTTGCTCTGTTTTCTCCCTATAATCTCTTACTGTTACACCAAATGCCTCCAACAGTAGATATAACCCTCTCTTTATTTTACTGTTAGTCTAGAAATTTTTCCTAATTCTTATAATCTACTCTGCATTTTAGTGTTCTTACTAGTACTGGCAGGTTTATATGATAATTGTTTCCTAAAACACACCAGCAAAATTAAATTTGTTTTCCAAACTGTCTAAGACCATCTTTAAGATAAATATTTACCTCACTTAATAATTGAGATTATTAATTACTGCTGTGACAGTAAGATTTGGTCTATTGGTTTTAAGTTATATAACAAAAATACATTACTCGGCAGTTAATACCTACCTCTGCAGTTAAATTTGGCGGTATCATAATGTCTTTCAGCACACCTAAAAGAAAAAGTTTAAATGTGATCTAAAGTTACCTTTTGCATTGGCAAAAAAAAGTATAGTAACACACATTTTCTGAACTTTTATACTGTACCAGGCATCATGCTGTTTTGTATTAACTATTTCTTTCAATCCTAACAATCTATGAAGTAAGTAGCGTCATTATCCCCATTTTACCATTTAGGAAACTGATGTTAGGTGTTATGCACTTACGGCTTACACACTTGCTCACAAAACCTTGATGCCTCTCAGGCTCCCACCTCCCACCCAGCTGCATGTGTACCCTCAAATTTCCTGTACGGACACTCTGTGCACTGAGGGAGTGTATGTTTGATTTCACCAAGTATGTACAAACAACTAACGAGTTACAGCATTGTCTTTATCTCAGAGTTGAGCACACATTGCTTTCTCAAACTATTATTTAAAAAGATATATATATATTTTTTTAAAGATTTTATTTATTTATTTGAGAGAGAGAGAATGAGAGAGAGAGAACACATGAGAGGGGATAGGGTCAGAGGACGAAGCAGACTCCCTGCTGAGCAGGGAGCCCGATGCGGGACTCGATCCTGGGACTTCAGGATCATAACCTGAGCCGAAGGCAGTCGCTTAACCAACTGAGCCACCCAGGCGCCCTAAAAAGATACATTTTTAAAATAGTAAAATTATAAGGGCAAAGAAAAAGTTAAAAAAAAAAAAAAAAGTGAATGATGCTAATGTACTCAAAAACACTTCCTAAAAAATTTTTAAACCAGACCTCTCTTTAGAGAAGCCAAAGGTCATCTTTTTCAATAATCTCTCAGTTTATGAGTTTTAATTAAAGTCTGAGAGTAATGAAGGCGTAATAAGTAAAATATAGAATAGTAAAATGTTGACTTAGAGCATACTAAAATTTGTCTTTTTAATATTAGTGACACGTTCGTCATCATGCACTGGTTTACTCATGATTAATAAGTATATTTATAAACATTAATAAGGCTCCGAAAGGGATCCCATACTTTGGTTTGTAGTCAGCAGAATCATGGTAACTACAGCTACTAACCAAATGAGATTTTTAAAAAAATTATTTAAAATAAAAACTTAGCATTTTAAAACAAATCAAGGTCTACAATCCCTTAATCTCCAATTCTGAAGTTTGAAATTTTAACATTTTCTGTTAAACTTATGGCAAACTCAATTGTGGCAGAATCTGATCTGAGTTTATGATACTGTATGCACTCTTTAACTAATACATTTGAAGAGTCAAACACTTCATGGTAGGGACTGCTCCACACCCCAGGGGGGTGTTATGTAATACTAATAAGTATATGCTTCCATGTTACCTTTCTGCAAAGGGAAAAATTCTGAACACTGAAACACAACTGGCCCCAAGAGTTTCAATAAGTGATTATGGACATGGATTTCACATTTAAGAAATCCTAAAACTATTTGTATAGTTCCTCTATCTTAAATAGTTTTAAATCCTAATCCACATGAAAGTTGAACTAATTATAAACAAATTAGAATCCACTAGTTTAAGTGGTCAGACCTGAAATAAATCGACTTTCATACTACTGCTTAACACAAAGCTTTTCCCCTTTTTTGCATATAATTTAATATATTGAATTTTGCTCAAAAAATTTATTTAGTAATGCCATATGCATATTTATGTATCCTTGCTAAATAATTTCATACTCCCTCCTATACAAAACATGACAGGTAGGAGGAAGACTGACCAAGAAAATAGTCACATTTTATACTTTCTTTAGTACAGATTAAAGAAGAGGTCTGGTAAATAGTGAAGAATCTATAACAGACTATTTTATAAGGACTCATGGAAAGATAGGACTTAGAAGGTGAGGGAGAAGGAGTAGGCTAGGAAACAATTCTAAGAAGCTGGTCTCATGGCAGCCCAACAAAAAATAAACATTTTGAGTTTCATGCAGCTTTAGTCCTCTAATATTCTCATGCTTTTTCAGGAGCTCACATGTTTGGTTTGACAAATACTGCTTAAGACTACCATCCTAAACTGATTCTCAAATATTACTGTTAAGAGGCAGAAATGGAGGAAAAGTGGAAATAATGAGCTACTACATGTCTACCAGATGTACACACCTTACAAAGGAGTTTCCATGTTTTTTAATTCAAAGTCACAACAATATAATAATAGAATCTCCATCTTATATATGAGAAAGCTAAGATTTAGAAGAGCATTAAAAAAAACTTGCCCCAAACTACAATATGCAAATGGAAGAGCCAAGACTCAAGCCCAGGACCTCTGGTTACAAAAGTCAAAGTTTTTCCAGCATGGCTCCATACTTCTACTTACAATACAAAATAGAGAACAATTTTAAAAACAAAAGCAATAACAAATTCTACTCAAAATCAGCCTTCCTACAAGAGCAATATTTCATACCAACAAAAAGCAACAAAAAGCAATCATGAAACATGAAAAAGTTATGAAAATCTCTACAGGTATGGATGAGGGGTACAAGAGAACATATACTGGGGCCGGTAGTGATGGAAGTGATCTGGAGGAGGGGTTGCTAAGGTAAGAATGATGACTGTCTTCTTAATTAAGACCACCTCCAATAACTGTGCACACATGCACGCACACCCGCACACACCCAGTTCCTTATGACTTTTGTGTGGTATGTTAGTTGATAAGTCTCTCAACAAACCAAAACTGAAGATACATAAATGGAAAATGGGATTTGACTGAGACAAGTATTAGGTAACTCTGACCACTTACACTTCCTTATAATTAAAATTCAACTTAAAAGATACGATTTTTAAAAATCTTCACCTTATATTGGCTTATATGAGACAAGAGAGATGAAGAAGCATTGAGAGTTTTTAATGAAGCGGTAGAAAGTGAAGGAACAGATAAGACTAATATGAAAAGCTTCCAGAGAAGTGAGACTTGCCAAAGAATCAGCGAAGTATGCAGGTCTCTTCTGTAACTCTCTTCAACATCACTATCTCTAGCTTACAAAAGAAAACTTAACAGATAAAAATTAACAACAGCTAAAGGTTCACCACCAAATGATGGAGAGTTGTATGTCAAATAGAATACACGATGAAATACAGTAACCCTTTTAAAAACGAGTATCCAGTAAACATTTAAGGTCCTCAAAGGCAAGAAGTATATTATGCCTCTATCCCCATCTTCCTCCCTCTTCCTCTTATCCCCACCAGCCTACAGGTATACAAAGGAACATACAAAAATGAAATACACACACTTGCACAAAACAAACTAATTTACTAAGCATCATTATATCCAAATTTGATTAACGATATGAAGCTAATTTTGTCCTTTCTTAAAATAATTTATTGAATGCTTGATAATACAGAGATATAAACAGATAGCCAATTATTAAAAAGTCCGTATTTTAAAAACTAAATAAATAAATAAAATAAAAATAAAAAGTCCATATTAAGAACTGTTCTTCATCCACACATAATTGCCATAAAAAGTTTAATATACCATTAAATACATGTATGTCTAGTGTAAATATTTTAAGATCTTTCAGTTTATATGTTTGCAAGGACATACATCACATGTAGTTAACATCCCCAAAATAAAAGAAATAAAATAGAAACATCTGCTGCTTGCCAGACTCCCTTACCCAGAGCCAGAAATACAAAAAGGGGTAGAGAGAAGGTGAAGAATGAAAAATGTCATCAGAAATCAAAACATGCTACAACCTGGTTGTTCTAGAAACTTCTGAAGTAAAATTTGGGGAGGTTAAAACAAACGATGACAACAACAACAAAACCAGAAAGGGAAGATTGGCATAAACGGTGGGTGATCTGCTACCATATGTACCTGTGTGACCTTGTTCAACTCACTTAACTTCTCTAGGCCTCAGATGCCCCATCTGTAAAATGAGAAGGTTGGACTAAATGATCTCTTTCAGGTACTTTCCAGTTCTGAAAGTCTATGACTCCATTAAATGGAGTGGGGAAGGGGAGCTGAAATATAAATACCAAAAGCTACTCTCAACTAATGAGACAGTTGATTAACTCTGGGGTCCAACGTTTAGAAATACAAAAACAAAAGGGCAGCCAAGTTCCCAGACTAGCTCCCAATGCCACCTTTAACCATAATAATGTTAAGTGATCCACAGTACTGACAGTGCAAGCCTAGGTCCTAAATTCTGGAAGCAGGAAGCCACTGAATACAGGAATGAAAAGAATTTCCTTCCTTTTCTTTGGATATAATGTTAAACTCAAATAAAATTTTGAAAAAGGCAGAATTTGTCTTTGGTATCTTTCTACCTTCCTTCTGGGACTCTAAATACCTAATCTTTAGAGTCTAAACCTGAAGTGACTCACTTAATGGACTGCAGCTTTTGACACTTCTTGTCCTGTGCTTTATTTTCTTTTTTTAAACTTAGCTTCTGAATCTAGTTATTCAAAAAGTATAAAGCTTTGAGGTTTTTATTTTCCTCCACAGAAACACTCTGGCGTCTGCAACAAGGCTAGTTATAGGAGGTTACTCAGGACGAGAGGAAGACCCATGCACAGATCATTTGTAAGCTGGGGCCGGCCTACACTCAAGTCGCTACAGCACCTTTGTCTTTCACCTTGTTACCTGTCACCCCACACCCTCCACACTCCCCGCTCCCATAATCTGACCATAATGGATTGTCTGCCATATTCTAAACACTACTATGCCAACCAGCTTCTTCCATGCCATCCTCTCTGCCCGCAATGCCATTTTCCCCACTCGGAGTCATGCAGGAGAGCCTCTGAAGATTCTTTCACCCCAGCTCAAACGTGCCTTTCTTCATGAAAACTTTCCTATAGGATACAAGTACCATTTCCACTGTTCTCCACACAGCTCTCTTCTGTACAACAGTTACCTCTTCTACAATACTATGTCTACTTATCACATCAGACTATAAACTATCAGAGACTGAAACTGTATCTTGTTCACCTCTGTACCACCAACAAGTTCTACAAGGTCTAACATGTGGAAACCATGGCATAAATGTTTGCTTCTTTGTGAATCCGAG